CAAAACTTTATACGTAAACGAACCTATGAGATAGAATGGAGCAGATGGATAGTGTCACCACAATGTATATAGTATTATAGAAGCTATCCAAAACAAACACTTTTCAACAGAGCCCCAAACTATACTAAAATGAAACATCGTGTGCAATGAAGTTTTCGTCCTTTCCCTCGGCCTTTTCTTGTTCCTTCTTAAAGAGGCTGTGGTCGCCTACGCCCATGTGTTCTGTCCGTGCTTCCCTCTCCCTTGCTTCTACCCATCAACCCACGTCCTTCCCCACCTACGGAAAACAAACAAAATGGTTTCTTCTGTAAAAGAGACCTACTTACCAATTCATAAATCTCTTATGAATTTTAAAATATTTAAATGAAGACAGTAAATCCTAACAGTACCATCAATTCCTTTCCTTTCACCATTGAAAAAGTGGAATGGAAAGATAATGAATTTTCTCCACAAACTTTCTTAAGTCCCCTTGAAAATAAGATTCTCATCTGTTTGGAATTCTTTTAGAGTATTCCTACCGGAAGTCAGGGGTGACAATCTAGACACTTCCAATTATTTCTTAAAAACAAACAATCTTTATTTCAAGCAGGATACAAAGACACACTGCCTAACAATCTGTAGCTCAGAGTTAGAGTGATCGAGAGCAATGTTTCCCAAAGTGGGGGTGCTGCCCCTTGGGGAAGGGGAGCAGTGGAACGACCCAGGTGGTCCACAAAAGCAGATGGGTGCACTTTATCCTGGACTACGGTTTATAGCACAAATGTTTTCATTGTCAAGGGTGGCCGAGTAGCACTTTTTGTGAAAGTGGAGGGGCTGTAGGCCAAATAAGTGTTGGAAACGATGATCTGGGGCAGGGGTTCTCACCCTTCCTAAGGCTGCAAACCATAAAATTATTTTCGCTGCTACGTCTTAACTGTAATTTTGCTACTGTTATGAACCAGGCGACTCCTGTGAAAGGGTTGTTTGACTCCTAAAGGGGTCGCGACCCACAGGTTGAGAACCGCTGATCTAAAGTATCTCTAGAGTCCATCCATTTACTGACTTAAAACTATTGATAAGGAAAACCTAGACCACTTAAACATCATCCAAATACAGTGCAACCAAAGCTCAGTGCTATTCATGACTAAAATATTTACCACAGAACTAAAGCTTCAAAAATCAATGATTTCTATGTTACAACAATCCTCTCATTGTACTGTTAGCATACAGGCCATAAATGTGCCCTCACTTTGAGTGATTACACCAATCTCTACTTGCAACAAATTCTGACAATCACCTTCACTTGCTACACACTGCAGCTTGTTCATCTCACGCTAAACCTATTGCCACGAAGTCAATCCTGACTCAGAGCGATCCTATAGG